TCTATTTATTTTTTATTTTTTAAAATTATTTTTTTCATTTTATTTTTTAAATATTGAGTTGATTGAGAATTTAGTTTTGTAATTTTAAAAAAAATATTATTGATTGCTACAGTATTTCTCAGAATAATTGTTTTTGTTTTTTTTTATGATTTTCTCTGAAATTAGCTTTTTTATTTTATTTTTTAATATTGAGTTAGTTAAAAATTATAATTATAATATGTGAAAAAAACAATGTAACTTTCCTCATAAATTACTGTAAATTGCCATAGTATTTTTTTTCCACAAGTTTTTTTGCTAGTTTCTTTTGTGTTTTTTTTTTTGTAATATATTTTTTCAAAATTATTTTTGTCAATTTTATTTTTTTAATATTAAGCTGGTTAGAATTTAACTTTGTAATAAAGCTTAATAATATGGGGTAAGCATTGTAGCTTTCCTCTTAAAATACTGTAGATTACTAGAATATCTCTCAATATAGTTTTTTTCTGAAGATTTTTTTAAAATTATATTTGTCAAAAAAATTTTAATTTAAGCTGATTGAGAATTACAATTACAAATCATTATAAATAATGCTAAATCATGTGGGGAAGCATTATAATTTTCATCACAAAACACTGTGAATTGCTACGATATTTCCAACATGATTTTTTTTTGTGTTTTGTTGTTATTTTTTCTAAAATTATCTCTGTCGATTTTATTCTTTTAATATTGGGATTATTAAGAATTTAGCTTTTTAATTTTAAAAAATACTATGAATTATTGTAGTGTTTTCCCTTATGATTTTTTTTTAAATTATCTTTATTGATTTTTTTATTTTTTGAAAATTGAGTTGGTTAAGAATTATAATTACAATAAAGTTAAATCATATAGGAAAACGATGTATTTTTTCTTACAAAACATTGTGAATTGTTACAAGATTTGTCTAAATGGTTTTTTTATGATTTTTTCTAAAATTATCTTTGTTGATTTTATTGGAGAAAGTACTGTAGTTTTCCTCACAAAACATTGTCAATTGCTACAGTATTTTTCTTCATGGGTTTTTTTCCTTCAACAATTATCTTTGTTAGTTTTTTTAATATTAAATTGATAAAGAATTTAGTTTTGTTTTTTTTTTTACTTTTTATTAATAAAAAGATAAAATTATATGACGAAAACATTATATCTTTCCTCATGAAATAATATAAGTTGCTATAAATTATTTTCTTCAGCCTCTAAATTTTTTATCATCAATATAATTTTTTTTTATTATAAAATATTAGTTCATTATATCTTTAATTTTTATTATTTCTTGATTATTAATTATAAAATTATTAAATATATTACATGTGAGAAATAACGAGTCTCAAAGTCTGTCTTAAAATCTCCCCACAATAATATTTCCTCACTCCATCATTGTCTCACTGTGATCCAACATGATTGCGCACTATCATGTAAGAACTAGGCTACACAATTTACCCCAACGTCCACTGGCATTGGAATCTAGAAAAGAGAATCCTCTACCTTACAAGGCCAGTTCCTCGTAACCTCAACATCTTCCATGCCAGAAAAAGAGACACACCTCATCTCTCTCATATATTTTGACCATTACGTGCATGCATACACACTTCATTCCACCAACAATCTTTTTATGTAAATCAAGGACCATACATGGTTTTATCCATACTTTTGGTGTTTAAATATGGAATACGAAACACTTTTTCATTTTAATTTCTTTTATTCAAGAACTTTCATTTCACATGCGACTTAGCCCATTAAATGCAAAATATGCATACATTTTTAATTACATATTTAGCGAAAGATATCAAAATATCCAATTACATTAATTACTAAAATCTCTAACATAGACATAAACCCTAACTTTTTTAAAATTGGGGATTTTTTAATTTCTAGCTCAAATAATAGAAAGAACACAATTAAACCATCTAAAAACACCTTACTAATGAGTTTTAATCAAACCTTTGAAGCCCTTTAAGCTCCTTTTTCAAATTTCACTCCTTCCTCTTCAATTGAGCCAACTTTCTCTCTCTATCTTTGCCACCAAAATTCTCACTAAAACTACTAACTAAGACTTATCTTAAGTAAAACTTACTAATCAAACACCTTTTAATTCACACTTGTAAGGAAAAGGAGGGAGGTAAGGAAATATTGAGAAATTTTGCAAATTTATCTTCCTATAACAACCGGCCATAATTTGAAAGAGAAGGGGTAGAAACTTTTCTCTTATTTATAGTTTTGTCACTCCTTACAATAACTATTGGTTAATTTAGTTAATTCTCCAATCTCCAATATTTTTCTTGCATAATTATTGCCCTTATTCCTTTCGAAGTTATACACTAACAATTTAGGAGATTTTACCTCAATAAAATATTTTTATTTTAACTTGTTTATTTGTTTATTTGCTTTTCCTGATAAAGATTTACACGAATTATCACAAGGTTCACATGGTTATTTAGCTATTAATTATTTTTGCATGTTGATTTATTTTTTATTTTATTAAGGATTTTATGATAATTTAGTGGGGAATTTACCTCAAATCATAAAAAAAAAATTCTCTAATTATATTCTTTTTTAGACTTGCATTTACACCATTTAGCATTGATTAAGATTGTAGGTCAGGGTTTATATAGACTGTAACAACCATGTATAATTACAAATAAAAATATAAATTTTAGCTTCTTACACATTCTGGTAAATTATAAAACATTTTATCAACCTTGAAAATATATAAAAACAACCTAAAAATAAAAACACAAATTAGTAAAAATCTCTTTCTCCATCACAATCTACATTTTCAAGTCATATAAAAACTCATAAACATCTTAATGATACTCTTCGAAAAACACTTTTACTCCAAGTATTTCAATTTTCTTAAACGGGAATGGACTAATAGACCTTTGTTTTTGTTTTTTTTCCCAACTCATCTCTCTCTTCTCTCTTAAGCTTAGGACCGAAACACGAAGAAAATAAAATCTTGGACCAACATGTAAAAACCTCATAAAAAAGGGTTTAAAAATATTGAAAATAAATGAAAGAAAGTAAATCTAGGGACTTATAATACTATAAATGCCCTGGCTACAGTAACCCCAAGAAAAAAGAGAATGGAAATCTGCTCTAATGCCAATTTAGGTCCTCACAGTTTTAATTATATTTAATTAATGAAATTGATTTTGGTAAATTAAGCAATAATTTAATCTTGTTAGAAACCCTTTCAAAAAAATATTTTGAGAAACTCTTGAGAATCTAAAGTCAAATCAATTAAAGTTTGAAGGATAATTTTTTTAAAAAAAATAAATGATTAAAAAAAAACACATTGTTATGACCCATAGTGTGCAATGAAAATGGCATGAACATTAGGGTTTTTTTATTATTATTATTTTAATGTTACTTTTTGTCGTCCAAGCAAAACTGTCAAAAACTTGTGCCATGCTCCAACATATAAATAACATATATATTCCATTCTTGATAAAGAAGTGGTTCAAAATCCTAAATCTAAAAGCAATTTTCTTAATATTCCTTTCTTTTTTTTTATATTATGTATCTTTCATTACCAGCTGCTAACGTGGTCTGCTCAATTCTGAAGGTGGAGTAGGAATCTCCTCTTCTTCTTCTTCTTCGTCTTCTTTTTGAAAAATTAATAAAAGTGTTGGAATCAAACAAAAGCAATTTTGAAAATAAATAAATAAATATACAAAAGGCATCTGGTTCTGATCCCTAATGTTATACGATGGTTGTATCGCAGAATTAAGAATTATCAAACTAACAAATAAACACACACATGTAAATTACCTGGTGCTTTGATTTTTATTTATTCCAATTTAATCTAAATCATGTTTATCAAATTTCAAATCAGTAAAAGTATATATAACATTAAAAAAAAAATTGGCCTTTTACTTAATATAATTATGCATTGTACTTTAAATTTTAGATAAATTTCTTTCAGAAATATTTGTTAATTTGCATCATCTTTATGAATGTATAACTAAATTTGCTGTGTCAATATTAAAACTTAAATAGAAAAAAAATATAAAACTCTGTAATAATTTGTACAGATTATAAATGTATAAGTGGATTTATTCAATATATATTGTAATAACACAAATAATAATTATGGTCATGCAAAGCTAGAACTATTATAATTAAAAATACTTTTATATTTTTATTTGTTCACTAATATGATAAGATAGATAAAATAAATCATATTGAGACTTCGGTGATCTAAAATGAGAACAATAATTACAAAAAATTAAAAAAGATATGAATTGTATCACATATTTATTAATTAACTTGCAGGATTTTATTTTATTTTTTATTTATTTATCAAGTTTCCAACCAAAATCAGATGACTCAAAACCTGCAATCGGTGGGTCCATCAGACAATCAGCCAACTATTTGTCTTAATCTTTAAAATACATGGTTGGTTTTTTTTTTTTTATGGTCTACCATTGTAGTAATGTTTGCTTTTAAAATTATTTGTACTTGAAAACCTATCAAATGATTGTTTTTTATATAGTATTAAAGTTAAAAATAAAAATATATATGATGTGTTTCGCAGTAAGAAAAATATCGTGCTTTTTTATACCAGAGACGCCCATCACATATATGATATTAAAAATTAGGATATATTTTTGTATAAATAAGATTAATCATATATAAATATGTTCCTAAAAATTAAGATTAATGACAGCATTGGAAAAAAATTTCAAGGTAGACGAGTCTTTTCTTTATCTATAACTGAGATAGAGACAAGTTATCTTTTAAACTAATAACGATACTCGAACATAAAACTTCTAAATTCGATGAATTCTTTAGGAGTCACTAAAGTAAACATGTTGGAGACTTGATTAGGATAAACTAGGAGAAGAAAAATGTACAATTAGACGTTGGATGGTCCAGCAATTAGACTGCAAATCATTATTGCATGAATGGAGAATCTAAGGTTCAAATTCCACCATTCCCAGAATACTCTTGAAAACTTGCCATAAATTTTTTTTTTTAAAAAAAAAGTAGAATTGACAGATGTATGATAGCTACAGTAGGTGGTTGCTTGTAATTGAGCAGGCCACCAAATCCAAATCTGAGTTAAATCTTCTCACTGAAATGGCAGCCTAAGATCTTGTCCGAGTTATGGCATGGCTGATGTGGCATCAAATTAGCTATACAGAATCTCCTACACCCACTACAAGTACTAATCGAATCTGGTTCTCGAGGGCTGCCACATGTGATCAAACTATGCTAGATTTGACTAACAATGTCATATATGTAGGACATGGTAGCCTCTAGCTATTTTGTTCAAGTGCAAAAATCCTCTTCTTATTGCATTCATTTCCCACCCTCTCGGCCTCGGGGAAAGGAAATGGCAATAGAAAAATGTAGCCGGTGTGGTGTGCAACTAGTTGTGCCCCCAGACGCTCAAGCGATTCGATGTGCTGTGTGTCAAGCCGTCACCAGGGTTCATTCCTACTACCCTCTGGCTCAAGCCCGCGAGTCAGCTAGCAGGATTACTTCTGGTCTTATTAGCATGGTTTCTGGCAACATTACCACCATGACTAGTTCGGTTAGTAGCAGGAACTATCCTGTGGCGCCGGGTTATGGTGGTTATTATGCTCAGCCACCAATTAGGCCCGTACTTCAGTTGCCTCTTCCTTCAATGCATGGGAGGAAACGGGCTCTGCTTTGTGGAGTAAGCTATCGAGGCAAGAGTTATAAGATCAAAGGAAGTATTAATGATGTTAAGTGCATGAGATATTTTCTTGTCGAGAAGTTTGGGTTTCCCAATGACTCCATACTCATGCTCACAGGTAATTGTATTTTCATTGATAATAACCAAACAATGTCTCATGTCTATTTTTCTGTGATTTCTTCTTAATGTCTTGAGATCATGAAATTATCAAGTCATTCAACTGGCTCAGAGATATGGAAGATTGAGACCTGATAATTAGATTTGGCCCGTTACTGTATATCTAATTAGCTGTACTGGCTGGAAATTGGCGATACATTCTTTCTTTGGGCTATAACCATGTAAGGTAAATCTACTTGCAGAAGATGAGACAAACCCATTACAGATTCCAACAAAAGAGAACATAAGGCTGGCTTTAAGGTGGCTTGTTCAGGGCTGCCAGCCAGGGGACTCGTTAGTGTTTCACTTCTCTGGCCATGGTTCAAAGCAACTTGATTATGACATGGATGAGGTTGATGGGTTTGATGAAACTTTATGCCCCCTTGACTATGAAACTCAAGGGATGATAGTTGATGATGAAATCAATGAGACCATTGTAAGGCCATTGCCACAAGGAGCCACACTTCATGCCATTATTGATGCCTGCTATAGTCAAACTATGCTTGATCTTCCATTTGTGTGCAGGATGAATAGGTAATTAATAGTAGTAAATCTTGCACGTTTCATTCCTACAGCATAGCATAGTGCAGAATGAGTGGAAGAACCATTTTATTTTATTTTACGTTTTGCTTCTGACAGGGAAGGATACTATACATGGGAGGACCAAACTCTTTCACCATATGCTTATAAAGGCACGAGTGGAGGGCTGGCACTTTGTATCAGTGCTTGTGATGATAATCAAACCAGTGTGGATACGACAGTGAGTTAGTCCTCCATTTACTTGATTGTCAGAGGAAATAATTTAGAAAATATTCCTAATCCTGATGTGGTTAAGCTCCAATGCAAATTGAACAAGGCAAGAACTTGGAGGTTTGAACATATCACACCATATTTTGTTTACACTTTAGTGTAGTTTCAATTTTGCAGGCATTGGCAGGCAATGCTTCGACTGGTGCCTTGACGTATTGCTTCATCCAAGCAGTGCAAAATGAACCTGGATTAACATATGGACGCCTGCTTAATTCTATGCGCCAGGTGATTCGTGGGGCGAAAACTGGTGGATTACGCCTAAATGGTCCCATCGCATCCCTAGTAAATAAAGCTCTGTTCAACACTGAGATAACACAGGTATATGCTAACTTTACTATCAGGAATTTTTGCCATCATTTTGAATTGAAATAAAACATCAATGGTAAATCCAAGATAGGAGCGATCTTAGTCTAATCCTGTTAATTCTTTTGCTTTTTAATTAATTTCAGGAGCCTCAGCTTTCCTCGTCCGAGACATTTGACATCTACGCGAAGCAGTTTATACTGTAAATTGAATTGGGTTACAGTTGTTATCGAAGTCTTGCAATGGAAATTGTTATGTATTTAATGAATGGCCTTCCATCCATCATAATCTGTCAAAAACACTATACTGTGATACTCACAGTTTGTAAATAAATTTGATGTCTTCTCAGTTCAAAATCGTTTTATTTTCTATTGTTTACACAAGCAAGTGGCCTAAGAAAAAACTGCATGTAAAACATTGCGTTTGTAACTGCATTTGAGTGTATTTTAATTATATATTTTTATATAAAAAAATATTAAATATTTTTTTCGATATTTTCTAATGATTTTAACGTAATAATGTAAAAATTAAAAAAAATATATTTTAATACATTTACATAACACAAGTTTAATATACTAATTAATCATTTACAGCATACCTGAAGAGTGCCTTTCCAAGGACGAAGATGGGTCATATATATTTGTGTTTGCCTCAAGTAGTGGAATGCAGAAGAAAAATCCTGAGGAACTGGGAAAGTCATGCAGATAATAGACGTGCGTCCATTTTTAAGCCGCAAACATCCCTTTCACGTGGAAAGACGATACTGTCTGATCATAGATTCATAGCCCACAATTCAGAAAGAAATAGACAGCCGAGCCATAGTATATATATTATTGATGCTTAATTATCGATTAATCATTCATGGTCACTTCCTTCTTGAGATCGAATTGGAGGCAGACAAATTTGACTAATCCCAGATGACTATTTTTTTATGCTTGTTTAACAGCTATTTTGATGGAGGCTGGTCTAGCAGGAAACCAGATTTGTACTAAATAATACTGCAGATAATTTTATTCATCTGAACAATATTTGTTAATTTTACACAGACGAAAATCTAAATAATACTACGTGCTTACCAATTTCAATTGAGAAGTAAGAGCTGACGAGAAGCAGTGCACCATCTAGCATAAGAGGCACGGAGGTTAGGCCAGTCAGAAGATGGAGTATATGTGAAGTGGTGTAGCCACAAAGACAAGACCTGCTCCTGCTCTTCTTCGTGCTCCAGCATGTCTATCATCTCTTCCAATACTATCTCTAGCTCAGCCCTTTCTCTCATGCTGAGAACAGGTGCATCAGTGCCATTGCTTGCTCTGCATAGCAATGGCAGCCAGGACATCAGCATCTTCATCTTTGTTTGTCGTTGTGTACACTCCCTCTGGCCTTCTCCAGCTTCATCAAGTCCCAATTCTCTGGCTTGTTTGAACAGGAAGGCTGAACAAAATTTTAAGCAGTCAAGACATTACTGCTCTACGAGAACAAAGAATTATACAAATTAAATACTGTGAGAATTAACAAGCTAATTTCTTTTCTTGAATATCATTTTCAGCTTGCAAACTAAGTTATTTGAGCTTGTAGCAAATTAACGAAGGCAAGCAATCATGGTGATTCTTTGGGATCTATGACCCTCACACCATCTCTTGTTTTTTCTGGACAGATTTCTTTATTTAATATTGGACAAGAAACAAGCAAGAAAATTCAAATAAAAACAAGCCCGCTTCTTTAGATTCTACCACTATTATGAAATCTATCCAGAATTGACCGGTCAACATAATAAAAAACTAGTTGGTGTTTTTTATTAAAAAAATAAAAACAAGTGATTTTAATTTTTTTTTAAATAATAAAACTTTTGAATTGACTCACCAACTCAGAAACCGAGTTTTATATTGAGTTAACTCTTAAATCGGGATTAATAATTTTGAACTCGCTGGTATTATTGATTATAATTTAATTGATGACCGATTAAAAAATGTGGCTGCCGCAATTAATTATTATTAAAACTGTAAGCGAGACGTGCGTAAGAATGTTTTTCCTTGAATTGCAGCATTCTACGTACGCAACTCAATTTCTAAGAAACACAACACATCGTTATATTTTATTATATTTAATAAAAAAATCATATTTAATAGAAAGGATTACTTTATTTTTAAAACAAGAATTATTACATTTAAATAGATAAATTAGTTTAGTAAATTAAAACAATGATTGTGCAAAAAAATTAACTTACCTGAGACTTTCACCAGCGAACCTTGTAGGCGAGCCTCTGCCGAGAGAGCAAGCCTAGCCAAGTTTGAAGCCGAAGCCCACCTCCGAACAGCTTCCTCCCCACATCCACAAGCTGACAATTTCTGACCCAACCAAAGCAGCTCAGCCGCCAACTTCTCCTCGGACCGGTCCGCTCCTTCTCTACCTCTACCAGACCGGGCCCAACTCCCATCCCCGACAACCCTAACAGCCTTTAAAATCTGGTTCAAGCGACCCTTGACCGGTCCAGTCCTTGAGCCGCCATTTTCACTCCCGTCATGCGCTATCTCCATCATGGCGGCTTCAAGCTGGCTAAGTGTCCTTGAAAAAGCCGCTGATAAAACCCCACGGTTGACCTCGCGTAAGGCCTCATTATTTTCTCCATGGTTATCATCTACAACCTTCTCAGCTAATGATCTGACTATTTCATACTTTCTTGAGCTAACCGGAATATCATTAACGATTGACAGTAGCTGTGTGAGTGCTCGAGCAATACCTGAATCTCCATAACCTGATGAAGGCAAGTAGTCTGCACTCTTGAGTGGCTGAAGATGATGGTACTGAATATTATCATGATCTTGGTGATCAGAACTAGGGTTTAAAGAAGGGAATAGAGAAGGAAGTAAACGTAGAAAGAAGAGAAAAGAAGTGACAAGAAGATAACGAATATGTTCAAGAAGTTTGTGTTTCTGGGCCAAGGCAACAAGGGATTTATCAGCAAAGATAAATATGGCGGTTGCTATGTTTCTTATTAGCAAAGGAGCTATGGTGATGGGAGAGGTTTCCATCATGCCCATGTTTCGATTGATGGAGTCTATATTTTTCCTTTTTCTTGGTTTTTCAATCTTTGGGTTGGATGTGGCTGTGCTTCGAATTGTTTGTGTGTTATATTTATATATGGTCAAGAAAGGATACAAGAAAAAGAAAATGGGGGCAACTCGGGCGGTTTAGTTTTATTACCCGAAAACAATATTAAAAATAAATTTTAAAGTATAAAAAATATTATTTTAATTTATTTTTAAATAAAAATACATATTAAAAAATAATCTTAATCACAAGAAAGGAGCTATTAAAAAAGTTGGAAATGAAGAGGTTACAGGCGTCTACGATTAATGAGCAACGAATTAGAGGACATGGTCAAGTCTCAGAATTGGGACAGTTGATCGGAATTTGCGGTGATTGGGAACCACTTGTGGTGGTGTTACACGGAACTTTTCTGCATGCTTAGGGATAAATTCACGTCTCAGATCAGCCTAGGCTTTGTGGACGAAATTCGAAGCCGGTGCCAAACAAGGACAGAGCTTGGACCAAACATGCTCGTATTTTGCTTTATATCATGAAATTCTGTCCACCCACTTTAACACGTGGCATACCCATGTACATCAATATAAAAGACTGTTTGGTCTCATTATCTATTTTTTGTTTATGTTTTTTAAGAATTGTTTTCCAAAAAGACATTACTGTTCATTATTTTTTATTTTTTATTTTCAAGATCATTATGTTTAGTGTCCCGCGATAAACAAAAAAAAAATATTTAGCTAGAAATAACAACAAAAAATATAACATAAACAACTTTAAAATTAATTTAAAAAATATAAAGAAATTTATCCCATGTCTTTTTTTTATATTATTGCAAGACATTAATCAATATATGTTAATTTAGAAAGCATTTAAAAAATAACTAAGCTGTATTTTTAAAAAATTCTAAAAATAAATTTTTTATTAAAAATTAATTTTTTTTATATATTTTAGATCATTTTAATACTCTAATCTTAAAAATTATTTTTAAAAATTATAAAAATATTATTTTAATATATTTAAAAATAAAAATATTTTAAAAATAAATTATAATTACACTCATAAACAATTTCTTACTCGTGAGAGCCAAGGACCTTTTTCAAATATAATAACATGCAAATATATTAATCTAAACCACAAAAGCTAGGGTTTTATATCTTGAAATTACGAAGTTGTATGAAAAATCAAGTTCAATATTCAAGCTAGCTTAGCTACCTCTTCTCCTCTTTTTTTCATTATCTAAACATAAATGCGAGAAAAAGTGGTGGCCAGCCAACCATATGGACCAATGACGACCCTTCTAGACCAATTCCTTACCGTTGATCGTCTCTGACCAATCTTATGAACAATAGCCAGATTGATGGGATGTTTTTTGCTTCCTCTTCTCCTTCTTTTCGAGGAATTGAATTCAATCCAGCTGATCAGCGGCTTCCAAAACCATCAAACTGCATCGGAGAAGCACAAATAACTCTCAGTTAGGACAATTCAACGTAAGAACGATGATCAGCAATTTCTTTTCCATTGCCATCCACGCCCTGTTGACAACAGTCTCTAACAGGTATTTTCTTCTTACAAGCAATGGATATGCTCAAAACAAGCCACGTCAAATCGCACTAGCACTTGATGAACACGAAATCTACCATATTTGTTTTTTAATAGAGCAAGAATTAGATATGCACAAGCTTTGCGAGAGCATTACTTTGATTTATACAGTATTTAGTTGTAGTATTGTTTTTCAAAATATTTTTTATTTAAAAATATATTAAAATATTAAAATAATTTAAAATTATATAAAAATAATAATTTTAAATAAAATATATTTTTTTATAAAATACCGTGTAGAGCAGGCTCCCCCAAACAATATACTAGTTTAAAATTTATTTGGATAATGTTTGGTGTCTTGGTGATGTTTGTTTTTGAAAATGTTTTTTATTAAAAATTATTTTTAAAAAAAATTATTTTTATTATTAATACCTTAAAATGATATAAAAAATATATAAAAATTTAATTTTAAATCTAAACAATATTCCTTTGCCCGAAACGCCCGTTTGGGTTGCCTACCAAACGGCATGTTAGTTTATGACCAAACGTTGCCATTTTTTCAAAGTATAAGACCTTTCGGTATCTAACACAAGCCAGCTATTTTCATTCTGTTTGAATCGAATGGTGATCCTTGGTGGATAAAAATCTTTCTAAGATTCTCGATACGGAGGAGCAACTGAGTCAGTCTGGAAAACTCCTTGGCCTTTCCTAAGTTAACTGCGTGTCCCGCGTTCTTAACTAATCAGAGAAGGTTTTCCCACCATACTTTTTTAAACCCGAACTACTAGTTAAACCTGTATAATAATCAGGTTATGGTTCAGATAAACTGATCCAAATTGATCCAGGTTAATTAAAAAAAATATATTTCTCTGTAAAACTGTATGACCTCGATCTCTCTCTCTTCTAGTTTCTTGTGCCCAACCATAACACCCACAACTCCTATATCATCTGCTGTCTCGCCCATCAAGATTAGTCTTGTGTTTGTCTTCTTTTCTCTTCATAAACAACCTATCCTCCTACAAGCAAGGAAGCAAACTATCTTATTTAATTTAAGAAGTGAATCACGTAAACTAGAAAGAATTTTTGTAATGCTCCCATGATTCCGTACCTCTCTAGCTGCTAAGATAAATGGCATAAGTTAAGGAAGGGTATTCATTTCAAGAGATAGAGTTTCAGACGTTATTCTTGAGAGGATCGTCTCCATGAGATACTAAGAATCGAGAGGGTAAAGAGTTCTTAGCCCGATTGCTTCATCTTGATTATTGATAGTGCCAGCACACTCCTTGAACCAGGTTTACTCGAGTCAATCGAGTTCTTAGTCGACCCGTTGAGTATATTAGGTTTTATCAGTCCAACTTCCTAAAGGTTTTTACTTATATCTAAACCAGTTTTAGCTCTGAATCGATTAAATCTCGGATCGACCCACCAAATCAGTTCAGATATCGAAACTATATCTCCCACATACGTACAAGAATGGAAGCTGTCAAGGAGTAGTCACTAGAGACAAAATCCACTCAAATTTTCAGAGCATCAGAGGCGGGAATAATTACTACAGACAAAATACACTCAAATTTTCAGAGCATCAGAGGCCACAATCAACAGGGGATTTCAAGTTGACCTTTTCAATCTGCGCCCCAATTACAGTGGGAAAATTTGATCTTGCTCTCCGCATATCGTTAATGTTGGCTGCTCTACAAACAAAAAAAAAAAAAAAAAAAACAAACAAACAAACATTAAGACCAGGAGTACTCTATCATGAACTGACTGCTTTTTCAAAGATTCATTTTACACTTTCCTTAGCCCCGATGCCTCCTATGATGTCAGTCTCATAGGCTAAAAGAATGGCACAACATAAACTACTTAAACTAGATGGGCCAAGAACGGTAAGGAACCTGTGTGATCTTTGGTAGATCAAAAAGATTTCGATCTTGAAGTATAGCCTGGATCAATTCCCTCTTCTCCTTGACATGATCCGTGCACATAATTAACCTGTCAGAACAGAAACATTACAGAGAGACTATCTGGGACTTTTTTTGTGTCTATATTAAGCCTAGCCTGAGAAAAAATCCATGAACTTCAATCATCCACAGAGGGTCAACAATATGAAATTCCAGTAAACGTTAGAAATTAACTCATACATTGATGAAATCTGTTAGAAAGAACGAGGGCACGCCCATGGCAAGTTTGACAAACGATAACCGCATCAACTCCCTCAATTTTTATGGTGTCTGTGGCAACAATATGGTGGCTGCTTCATCTAAATTCGGAACCACAAACAAACCATTGTTCGTATCCTTTTCTTCCAAGCTAACCCCAGCACAGCACAACTCTTATTTTTTCTTGAAATTGTGCAGCCATACTATACCCCACAAACCTTCCAAAGCTGATCCCAACATGATTCATTCCATGCACACTGTGTGCCTCCAGTAGCCTCATAACGCATTGAGCCTGGAAAGATCGGTTCTTTCAGGCCTAGATGTGCAGGACTCACAGAAGAAAAGAAGGTCTGGAATGGAGACATTGAAACGTGATGTGTGTTGGAATGTTAAGAAATATATTTTATTTTATTTTATTTATTAAGGGTAGGATATATATATATATATATATATATATATATATATGTTAATATTATTTATTCTTCGGAATAAAATTTTCATGCAATGTCAATAAAACTCTAGCCTCCATCTTCTTTTAATTCTGTATTTTTTTGGTTTAATTTGGATTGTTTCATATTGTATCAGAGCTAATTTTATATAACAAAACTTAATTTGAAACACATCTTGAATTTTTTGGAGTGATATTTATTCAATTTCTACAATATTTATTTAATTTTTGTAATTTAGTATTTTGCATTACTTTTTTTTTACTTTCTGGTTTTCTTTATTTATTGATTATAGCTACTAAAAAAAATAATTCGCTTCAGTATATAAATATGAGATTATATTGAAAGAATTATTTGTATTGAAATTATATATTGAGAAATTTTCTTAAAAGATAAAAAAAAAATATAAGAATAAGTTAGTGGAAGTTATGTGATATTTAGAAATATTGATGAGGGTTATGCTACTTTGATAGATGTATAGAAAGTAAACAATGTAAAGATTATTAAATAGATTAACAATTTTGTTAAGCATTCCATAGGTACACATTTGGCTAGGTATGAGACAGCAAAGAAAGTCTAAAATCATCTGCAAATATTATTCATGCAATCAAATTTTGCAAAGCAATATCAATTGGAGAATGACACTCGAGCTCTTCATCAAAAAAATATGAGCATTCAGGAGTTTTATTCTGTTCTCAAAGATCATTTGAATTAATTGACTCTTACAGAATTAGCAAAATTAAATACATATAGCATTTATATTGCTTATAGAGAGCAACAATAATTGGTGTAGTTTTTAACGACACTTCACAGTGATTTTAAAGGACTTAGAGGTTCAATTTTACATCATTCCCCACTATTTTTTGTTGACTTTATTGTTATTGAGTTATTAGCTGAAAAAATACATCTTCAGTCTTATTCTGAAAAGAGAATTCTTTATGCTTCTAATCCTTCTATACTA